CGGGGAGCGCCCGCAGCCCTGAGTGGCGGGGCCCGAGGAGGGAACCAGCGGCGGAAAGGCAGACAGACTGCGGAGCGGGCCGGCGGCAGACACACGAGCAGCTCCGGCAGGTGCCGAGCGAAGCCCCGGAGAGCGCAGACAGGCGCGGCGCGTAGACACCGCCTCCAACCACGGCGGGTAGGGAGGAGGCGCCGGCCCTGGACGCCCACCTCTTCGCGGCGCGGGCCCCGCAGCGAAGGAGAACGGGGCTGTGCTACCTCTTGGCGCCTCTGTCCCTGTGTCCTCCCCTCGCCCGGGCGCCCCGCTGCAGTCGGCGGCGCGAGCAAGCGGAGCCTCTGGGAGGCGGCGATGAGGTAACCGCCCGCCTGCCCCTCCTACCTGTCCCCACCCCGCCCCGGGACTCCCCTCTTGGCGAGGGTCGCGGGAAGGTGACTGGGGGTGGGAGGCTCTGGAGGCCCCCTCTCTCTCCACGTCGCGCGTTTCTCTCTCACCGGTTCCAAATAGAAGTCACTGCTCGCCCACGGCTGCAGCCGCTCTTTCAAACACAGCTCCCCTCACCCCCCCAAGCTGGCTCTTGACAAGCAGGTCCTCCAGGGTCGGGTCCCACAGCGGTGTGTGTGACCTTGGGCGAGTCTTCTCGCTGCTCTGGGTAGCTGTCCCTGTCTGGAGAACCTACCATGGGCCAGGCCCCTTGACTGAGCTAGTCATTTGACGTGCTGCTAGTATCTAGTCCGGAAACCTAGCAGCTCCATTTAAGAGATGAGGAAACTGAGGCTGGGGAGGAATATCTCAAAGGTTAGAAGGTCACTGGGCACCCCCCGCTCACCATGTGGCCTTCTGTGGGTCTGTCCCACCATCCTCCTGTCCTAAATCAAACAATGTTCTAAAAGACTTACGTGGAGAAGGGAGGGGGGCTACAAAGAGGCTGACTCCTGGCCAGGGCAAGTTCAGCCCTGACCCCTGTTCCAACAAGGCCATAGGTGAAAAAGTATAGTAATATCTGGAGAATTAGCCTACTATTAAGACCAAGTTTTCTTCCCCAGTCAGTCTCCACCTGTAGCTTCCCAAAAGTTGGGCAGCCCCCAATTTAGACTCACAGAGCCCAAACCCACCTCCCTGGAGTTGCTGGGGAATTCCTTGGTCATCACACTTTGGAAAACCTGGGCTTGCCTAGCACCCATCCTTGGCTGGCAGCCACCCGCAGCAGTGGGGAGCTCCCACATCTCTGACATCTGCCGGGGGTGGGTCTAGGTGTGGGTGAAATGGCATAGCCATCTCTCAGTTCACTTCTGAACTGACCAATGATTTCATTAATTTGTCTCTTACTTATGTTTCTTATTATAATTTGAATGGAAGTTTACAAAGCACATTGGTTTCCATTCAACCAGGCATAGACATTTTATAACATTTATTACAGTGTTATGTGCCATCCAGTTGACTGTGATTCATAGCAACCCTATGAACAATAGCTCTGAGTCTTCCCCTATCCTGAGACAACCTCATGGTTTCTGACACACTTAATCCCATTGTCACCGTAACTGTGCCACTCCATCTCATCCAAAGTCTTCCTTTCCTATGCTGACCCTCTACCCTTCCTTTTCAAAGGGCTGATCTCTCCTGGCCTGGCCACATGCCCAAAGTATGTGTGACAGAGTTTCAAAATCTTTGCCTCCAAGGAGCAACTTGGTTTCACTCTCTCTAGGACAGACCTGTTTTTTCTCTTGGCAGTTCAATACTCTTCCCCAGCACCACAACTCAAAGGCATCTGTTCTTCTTCCCTCATTCTTAGTCATTGTCCAGATCTCAGATGCATAATGAACAACTGGGTGGCAATGTGTTACAATAAACTCACACACTTACATTCACTCACATTACAATACAGTCACACACTTTCCTTACTTCACCTTTGTGATGCTCATTCCCATCAATCCTACTAGCCTACTTCTTACCTTTTCAGTTTAATCTACAGGCAAATGCTGCTCTTTTGACTTTATATGGTTGGTTATTCTCTGTGAGTTCCTCCCTGGTGTTATTGTTCTATTGTTTGGCTGCAGGTTGAGCCACAGAGGTGAGTTTTGTTCCAGTTTTGAGGGGTGACTTAGGATGATAGTTCCTAGGATTTCACCAGTCTCTATTATCACAGTCAATGAAACACATAGATATTCCTCTGGTACTCCCTGCTTACAGCCAAAATCCATCTAACCATCTAATCCATCTAACATTAGCTATAGTAACCCTAGTACCATGAACCCAGCCTGCACTTCTGGCAGTTCTCTGTTGATGTGCTGTTCCAGTCATTTTTGGATCATTTTTATTAGAATCTTGCTTGCATGTGCTATTAATGATACTGTCCACACTCTGTCAGGTCACCTTTCTTTGGAATGGGAACAAATATAGATCTCTTCCAGTCAGTTGGTGAGGTGGTTGTCCTCCATATTTCTTGGCACAACTTGGTGAGTGCATCCAGGGCAGCGTCTGTTTGTTGAAAAATGTCAACTGGTATACTGTTAATTCCTGGGGCTTGTCTTTTGCCAATTCTCTCAGAGCAGCTTGAACATTTCCTTAATCACCACAGGCTCTTGCTTATATGTTGTTTCATGGAACAGGTTTGTCCTGCAGAGGGTGAAACCAGGCTGCTCCTTGGAGGCAAGGATTTCTTAGGCTTTGTCTGACATACTTTGGGCATGTTGCAAGGAGGGACCTGTCCTTAGAGAGGAACATCATACTTGGAAAGGTGGAGGGACAGCAAAAGAGAAGAAGACCATCAATTAAATGGATTGACTCAGTGACTGGGGTAATGGGGGAGGGTGTGTCAGAGACAATAAGGTTGGCACAGGATAGAGCAGGTTTCAGGGCTATTGTACATGGGGTCGCTATGAGTCATTAGAGATTTGATGGCACATAACAACAACTATCATCACATTAATAAGCCTGGCCTTTTTTCCCCTTTAACTTTTGTTCCACACTTCCCTCTACTCCGTCTAAGATCTTCTACTGTGAGCCCTTTTAAAATGGTCAGTGGTGGTAGGCGGGCACCATTTAGTTCTTCAGATCTCAGGATTGTCTGTGGACTCTGAGCTTCTCAAGGTCTCTTAGGCCTCTGGACAAATATTTTTCTACATCTTTTTTTAAAATTTTTATTGTATTATTTTTTACGTGTACCGTCAAATCAGATCTGACTGGTATAGGAGAGGATTGCCCCCCTACTTCTCCAGCAGAGCATCTGGTGGATTTGAACCGCGTACCTCTGGGATTGCAGTGCAGGGTCTTGCCACTAGGCTACCAGAGCTCCCTTACATCTTTGTTTTTATGGCCGTTTCTTCCTTCCGCACAGGGAGAGACCAATAGTTGCACCTTAGATAGCTGCTCTCAACTTTTAGACCCATCACTATAATTCATCTCTTTAACACATGTTCCAAACTGTACCACCTCCAGCATGCTGAGATGGATTTAAAATTTTAAAAGAAAAAAAAACTGTTTTAAATTCTTTTCTCAGGAGAGATGGTTGTAGAACAGATGGAACGCAGGAGTTATGAAAGCACAAACAACATGCCACCCCTGCCTGAGGGGAGCAAAGAGGGAGTGTGGGAGGAAGAGCAGCTGAGGAAGCAGAAGGTGATTCTCCTGATAAGGCAGTGTTTGCACGCTCACCTCCTACCGGGTCAGGACCTGGTCGGCTTTCACTCTTCTCCAGCCACTAGGAAGCTCCAAGTTAGGTTCTGGTCATCTCCCATCAGTGCTGCAAACCTTCAGGCTCAGAGCTGGGGCCTGTTGGCCTCATGTTCCTTTTCTGCCCTCATTTCCCTCCAGGTTGTTCCCTTTGAAAACATGTTTTGCAGACTCTAAGTTCTGTGTTGTGCTGTTGTTGTTAGGTGCTGTCATGTACAACTCATAATGACCCTGAATCCTGTCTTGTTCCGTCCTCACCATCTCTGACACACTTGAGCCTATTGCTTCAGTCACTGTGTCTGATGAGGGTCTTTCTCTCTTTTGCTGACCCTCTACCCTTCCAAGCATGATGTCATTTTCCAAGAAATAGCCTCTCCTAGCAAAATGTCCAGAATATGAGAGATGAAGCCTGGCCATCTTTGCCTCCAGGAAGCACTTTTTCCAAGACATACCTGTTCCTTTTTTATGGCCGTCCGTGGGATATTCAGTGCTCTTCTCCAACACCGCAACTCAAAGGCATCAATTCTTCTTGTGTCATCCTTACTCATTGTCCAGCTCTCAGATACATACATAGCAAGTCATGTGAGTTGCCTCAATTCCTTCAGGAAATGAAGTCGCTTTCCTCTTGGCACTCTGTAGGGGTGGGGCTGAGGGGAGCACTCTTCTGTAAGCCCGGCGTTACCTCTTCTGCTGCCAGGGAGCTCAATCCTACTCTACCTACCCCGAGGAGCCAGTCCCAGGAATTTACAGACTAGGAACACTTTCCTGTGACATTTCCAGAGTTGGAGGTGGGGGAGACACTCCTCCTCCCTCCCCTTGGGCCATGTGTGTGAGACATCCCAGGCTCCAGTGTGCATGTCTGTGAGGCAATGGAAGTCACAGGGACAGAGAGGGAGGCAGTGGGTTTCCACGAGGAAATGAGCAGAATGGGGAATGGAACCCAGCACCAGGGCGCTCCTGAGCCTCTAGCTTTCTTTGAGGCTGGGGACTTGGGGATAGGGGTATTCCTTTCCTGGACATGAGCAAGAACCTGGGGTCTTGTGCGCAAGGCCTTAAACACCGTTACCCTCAGGGTCGAGCTGAGCTGCATTCAGGAGCTGACAGCCAACATGAGATTCATTTCCTAGTAAACAAGGTAGTTGTTGCTAAT